AAAAGTAACGTAGCTGTTAAAGATTTTATTGGTGAAATAGGCGGTTTTCTCAAGAAGAAAGAAAAACTTGAACTAAAACACAAAGACAAAACTTACTAATAATTATACATTGTAAATGGAAACTGTTAATGTGTTCGTGCGTGAAGCATGCTGGGTACAAACCCCCTTTGTGTTGAAAGTGCATTATTTATAGCTAAACTGGTCAACTAAAATAATACAGCTTTGATACAGAAGGAAATTGCGTGACACGATTTGTTGAAATAATCACATCATTTGCATAAATAATATTCAAAAATTCTTTTCAGTAAAATTGTGCCAAAATCTATCACGGTAGTTCTAAATTGACTAATTCTATCGTTACGAGCAGAAAAAGTAATCGAAAAACTTATGTAGCAGTGTTTTTTGATCAGATCAGATCAAACTGTTGAATGTAGCCACGGGTTTATTTTTTAACACGTTAAACACGTGATCTTAGTAAGTTACGCAATTCATGAAGAATGCAGAGGAACGTTGATTTTCAGCTGTAGTACTATTGCGCAAAATTGCGTATGTTTCAATGAATGTTACCAGTGACAATTTATCTAATTGATATATATTTCGAAAAATCACTGTGTGTGTGTGCATGCCAAGTTTGAAATGGAACAATTTTGAACGCAATAAAATCACGTGTAGATCTCACTCCTGCAAATAGCGCTAACTGGTTGTCAGTTTGATTGTTTTCCGACAGACGCAATTTTAAGGCTTGTGTATTTCTATGTATAGTGTCTGAGTTTCGTTGAGAATTATTTTGTAAAGGAATCGCTAAAATGATTTTATCTAATCATAAAAGGGACCGTATTGCTTCGAAGATGGCTAACTTCGTTCCATTCTGATCGGACGGCGCCCCCTCGTGCCAATGCCCCTGCGGTACACGAACTTTGAGCCGGAACGCTGGACACAATGTGGTTGCGTAAAGTTCGTTGACCTTACATGTAGGGCAACTTTCAAACTTCAAAATGTTTATTTTTTGCTTCCTCGTGTGTCTGGCCGTGTTTAATACGGATATCAACGTGGAAGCTAACCCCACTGTGTACACAGAGTATGGAAAGGTGATGGGAGTGTATGTTGATAACGCTCGTGTATTTTTCGGAGTGCCTTATTCGGCACCGCCAACGGGTGAACATCGTTGGAAACCACCTCGTCCGCCGGTAAAATGGTCGCCCAGTGTGTTTAACGCAACGAGTGACCCACTTGCCTGTCCACAAATGTGTCATTTACCTCCACACACTTGCCCCAATAAGGTATGTACATCTCGGTTGTTTTGAAACAAAAAATACGTTTACATATTGTAAAACGTGTCGAAAAAGCGCCATGCAATTGCAAATTGTGGTAAAATGATCTAGAGAAATGTTGATTTAGCCACAGTCTCTCCAGAGGGACTGTGGCGACATCTTGAATTAGCGAATCAGTTCCCTCGCTAAATTCGCGAAAAAAGACATGTTTTAAAGTATATCAGAAGTAATTTAGAATACCCCCCTCCTTTAATTTTCACGTTCAACGTATTCTGCACTCACAGACGGAAAGTGAAAAATAAAATTAGTCGTTACATTGGGTAAAGAGAACGGATGTCCTACTCGCTTATAGATTCCAGTCTATGCGATGTAACGTAATGACAAACGACATGTACACACGATACCTGTGCCCAAGTGAACTTCGGAAGTTGTTTAGTGGCTCATTTTAAATTATATACCCACCCAAACACACGCAAACATAACCTCGTCCTCCCGCCATCATATATTTTACCCGTTCAGCCTTGTGCGGAAAAATAAAATTGCCTTTCCAAATGCGTCACTCGAACAGCTGTTGACTGCTTTCGATATATATTCAGTGATTAGGGAATGACCATTTATCATTCCTGGGGAGGGGGCAAACATAAGAGGGGTCAGCATATTTTCCAAAGCCACAATGGTGGGGAGGGGGAGGGGCAGTGACTTTTTATCAAGGCTGAAGGGGCCGAATATTTTTCTCCTAAGGATTGAAACACAATTTTTTTTTACTTTACACCTTTTTTATTGATCACAAAATGAATAAAAACTAAATATAGGGGGGGTTACAATTTTTTTCTTTTTTCATTTTTTCTTTTACAAAGTAAATAAAGGGGGGTCCATTGATTTTAAACAAAAAGCACCGAGAATAATAAATGGTCATTCCCTTAGCTTGTTACAAGCATGCAATGATAGTGTTTGCATTTGTATCAATGTACTCAATCAGATTTTACGAAACATAGGAGCTTGTGGATAATCCATAGATCTGATTACTTCATTGTTAAATTTCATACATATTAATTACTTTGTATAAATTGGTCATGTGATCTCATTATTATGCATACATGTAGTATACACTGTTTCAGATAAGCACATGCATTTGTTACTATGAAGGCATATCACATGTCTATATATGGTTATGTGACCTCATTAAGCATAACTGTAATAAAATTCTGGCATGGTTGCGGATAGTGATACATTGCAATATTGTAGGCATTTGACAAGAAATATGACCAACACATCCGATGACTATATATGGTCATGTGACCTGATTAATATGTATAACTTTAATTGATCAACCACTGCTGCAGATAGTGACAAGCAACCAGTTATTACAAAGGCATCAGACATTATATAGTCATGTGACCTCAATAATATGAATAAGTGTAATAACAAAAACTATAAATATTATAAATAAGTCATCATATATGTTATGATTTAATCATCTTTGCTAGCCAAGGACCATTTATTCGGCCGAAGCCTCAATATTAAACCTTGACAGACCTTCAAACGATTATAAGATTCACCTTATTTGCATTACCCAATCAGAGCTCATGATAGAAATGCTAATTGGTGGCGCCAGCTCGTTGGCGCGCCAAATCAAATGACTCAATTTAACTGCAGTAAAATACAGCTTTTCCTGACACGATCGAGAACAGGTTCGTGGGCAGGCTATGAATGGCCGGCTTTAGCGAAACCGTGCGATTCCATTAAATATTTATAATTGTTATACCACAGCCTCTCGGAACCACCCTGTTTACTGTTGGAAGTTTTAACAAGTCTAGGCAAATAAGACATTTTCAATGTTTTGCTTCATTGCAGTAAATGCATTTTTTGGTTTATTTGTATTGGAGATGTGCTCCTAATTCAATAAATACAGTATTCCTTATTCGTGATTACCCTAAGCACAAAAAAGTTATTTTTAACTTTTTTATGATTGGTTATGATTTTATTCCTTGTTCTATTGTGAATAAAAATCTTGATGTATAAATGAAAATGAATTCATTGACTAAATTACCTGCATAAAGTTCAAACCAAGTCTAGAAATTAGAGTATATAAAGTGTCTGTGAAAAATTGTCTATGTATTGGCTCATCATCTTTTGAATCTTGCTGTTCTGAAAAGCAAGGAAACAGTACCAGCATATGACTGGGCATAGGGGATTGCTCATTTGAAAAAAGGGTAAAGTTGGAAACTAAGACTCATTTGAAACTGACACAATGAATCAGCAATTATGTTAAATAAACATTAAAATAACAGCTGCTGCTACAATTACCAGATGGCACATTAATTTCATAATTGCTTGAGATTTTTTTTTTGATTAATATGGTTGCCATGTTGCAACAATGGAGGAGAACACATTGTCAAGCCCAATGTCTTTTCCCACGTAATACAATAGAGTAAATTTCTTAAAAAGCGATAGACTACCTCTCTTAAATGCTGCATCTGAAATTGATGCAATGAATCAGCAATTATGGAATGTGAGCGATCTACATATTCATAAAATTGGTTAAAGCTATTGACAAGCGATAGAAATTGACAGATCTAGCAAAAACTAGCACCCAGTGTCAAGAAACAAAGATATTCCATTCGAGTCTGAGAGAAGTAGGTCCCACATGTGAGATAAATGTACATCTAGAATAATGACGTTGCCTGCAAAGTTCACTTGGTTTAGACTTAAAATGAATGCCATAGAGAGGCATTAATAATTAATTAAGGTATATATAGAACGATCGTAGGTGAACACGATAGCCTTTTAACCAAGGAAAATAGAACACAGAACGAGAATGTGAATTACCAATCAGAATGCCGGATCTATTACTAGTTATCAACAGCAGTTTATAAAGTTGCAATTTATGCCTTTGCAACTTTGAAAGGACTGCACTTTTATAATGCAAATTATCCATATTTTAAACTCATTAGCCGAATATCTCATTAAGATTTAGGGCGTAAAACATGTTATAAACCTATTAACGTAATCATGTGACTTGGAACATAACTGTGTTAACCGTGAGGGACTTGTATGTCAAACATATTTGAATATCAAACATATTTGAATATGCAAATGAGCTGGTGAAAGGGTCGCGTGTCCTGACTATTTAAAATCGGGATTGTTCAAGAGTACTCATTACATGGGGAGGTATGTCTCTTTTCTGTATCGAGTGCCTTCAGAACACCATGGTTTATTGTGGTTATGTTTCCCTTCATTTTCAAGAAACTTGCTGCATCTTCACTGCACGCACTTTTTTACTTTTCAGTAGTTTAGTCATAACAAGCACTGTAATAGCTTGTCATATGATTAGGTACATCAGGTTGCTCCAACCTGGACTCTTAACTTCCCATTTCGTGGCACATTGATTCAGAACACAGTAAAGATAAGAACGGTAGCCATAATGTACCATAGAGTGAACACGTACACAATTGTAACAAAACAGTGTATCAGTCTTGTCTTCAAAGGGAATAGCTGAAACCTTTCGCTTATACTGCCCTGAAAATCATTTCTATAGTGAAGGCCCGAAATAAACTTGTAAACTGTAATGCTAATTTATTCTTAGTGTATTGTTAATGGCATAAAAGATATAAATGATACATTTGTTTACATGCTGTTTAACTAATGTATCTGTAGACGAGTGAAGACTGTCTGACCCTGACTGTGTTTACACCTCTCACATCAACACCAGCGTCGAAAGCTCCAGTTATGGTATTCTTTCATGGTGGTAACTTTCGTCAGGGTAGTGGATACAGTCTTCTCCAAGATGGTCGATATATTGCCAATCATACCGATACTATTGTTGTGTTTGTGAACTACAGGCTTGGTAAGTACGTTGTGGGTGTCCCAAATTTCCACATTGATGAACAATCTTGCTAGAGATATAAAAGCAAGTAAAAGACTGAGTTTGTACAGAACAAGATTTGTTTTCTTGTGCTTCTTGTGCACCATATTACGCATTGTACTCACCAGCATTTTTGATAACTGTTAATTTTCAGACCAAACTTACACGCCATTTTGAAAGTAATAAAGCAACAATTTATGCCATCTTAAGTGAAACAATTTGACTTAAGGGTTTAATATTTAATGGGCATTTCTGTTGAAATTCACAGAATCTACACCTAAAGGTGTCTATTGAATGTTCTACAATTGTATTATAATTGACACGCTTCTGATTGATTTATTAAGGTGCCTTGGGATTCTTAGTTTCTGATGTGGGTAAGGACGCTGCCAATGGTAACTATGGGATTATGGATCAACGTTTTGCATTGGAATGGGTGAGGGATAATATTGCTAACTTTGGAGGAGATCCAAATAAGGTAAGATACAATTTACAAAACCAGTTATTTGTTGATGACTAGAATATTGTACATTTAGTACAAACAACAGTCTTTGGAATATTTTTTTTATCTACGTTGCCAGAATGATTGTGCTATTTCTCTGTTTTAGTACTCTGAACACATTCATCAACACAGTTTCATATATTATCTTAAAGGTTACAATTTTTGGACAAAGTGCTGGTGCACAGTCTGTTGGGATACACTTGGCTTCCTCGAAAAGCGACTCACTATTCCATTATGCAATCATGGAAAGCAATCCACTTTCGTTGCCCCTTCGTTCACGACTTGAAGCGGAGATCCTAGGTAGCTACTTCGCTGCAGAACTGGGATGTAGAACCGGAGATATTAACTGTATGCGGAGCAAACACGTTGAAGATATCGTTTATGCTCAGCAAAACACAAGCACCAAAATAGTCAACCCATTCAGACTGCTAGAGTTGTTTGAACCATGGGGTCCATACATTGACGGTGATGACATCACAGAACAGTCTATTGACTCTTTTGCCAAAGGACATTTTCAGAAGAAGCCAATAATCTTGGGAACTACTTCAGACGAAGCCCGTGCTAATCTATTTGTAGCAATTCCTGAACCAATGGACAAATTGAACTATTTTGAATATGTTATTGAGATGTTCAAAATTCATTCGTTGAAGGTGTTGCACAACTATCCGCCACTTTCTAGTGGCGACCAGAGAGAGGAACTTTCAGTTGCAGGGCATCCATATCTATTTGCATGTCCAACACGTGATGCCCTGAGGCATATATCATATCATAGTGATCTATCTATTTGGACCTATGTTTTTGATCATGCATTGTCTTTTGATGCTTGGGGACCTGATTTCAATTTCTGTGTAAAT